ATACCATATACCCTTATTAATAATCTTATCAAACAAGACAACTGACCCTACGAAATTACATGCAGGTCAACTCTGGTCAACGGTCAACTTGACCGGACTCGTCGAGTGCAAAGGCGACTCGGCGAGTCTAGACGTCCTCCCCAATTTTCCCTGTTGTTCCCCTTTCTACTCGTCGAGTATCCCTCTTGACTCGACGAGGTCCTCGTGGAAGAATCGCGGGGCCACCCCGACTCCACTCGCCGAGTCTGAAGAACAACTCGGCGAGTCCCAGTGAATCTTCAAGCTACTCGCCGAGTCTGCTCATCCGACTCGGCGAGTCCATGCCATGCAGTCGATCAACTGCTTCCTGAAACACGTATGGTCCCGAAATACACACTCATGGGACTATCTGGACCTCTAAACATCCTATTACTGGGGTATAAACACTTGGGTAACAACATAATAATCCATCTAATCATCAAATGGGTTCTATAAACCCTAACTTCATATACACATCAATCACAGAAGAACGAAATCCGAGATATTACCTGATTGATGCACTTTCTGTGTCCCCAATCCTCAGAACGTGATTCTCTTGCTGTTCCTTTAGCTAAACCTTCCTCTTCCTTGCACACAACTCTTCCAAACCCAACAATGGTCTTCAATCCTTGCTCCAGATGCACACAATCGTTCTAGGGTTCTTCTCAGTAAGCAAAAACGAACAATGACGGCCTAAGAGGCGTTATATACGATCCAAAACCAAACGACTAGGGTTTCTGCTGAACAGCGTCGACTCGCCGAGTCCCTAATGGACTCGTCAAGTCCAGTCGCGAATCTGCGACCAAGTCTGTGGTCCTACTCGGCGAGTCAGGCACCAACTCGCCGAGTCCCCTCCTAAAAATGCCCCAAAATAATTTTAAAGCAATACCTGAAATTCCGGGCTGTTACACCAAACGTAAGATCTTCCTCCCTAACTTGTTCAAAACATGCATCATTGTTATTATAGCTCAAAAATCATATGAATGGGACATGAACAAGGAATTTACGGCCTAAGAATCTCCTTAGGCCGTAAACACCCAATAAGTGACCAAAAGTCCTGATTTTTCTTTTTTTAAGCTTGGACATTAGTTAGGGATATTACCTAGGGGTGTTTAAGCATCCAAACCATAAATTTTAGGGCATTAAAGAGGGTTTATAGCCCAAGCACATGCTTAGGCCGTAAACACCCTTTTTCCATGCAAAAGGCCCCAAACACTCTTTCAAATCATTTTAGACTTGAGATATGACCTAGGGAGCTTCCAATTCAAGTTTAGGACCATCAAACAACAGGATTTGAGGGGTGAATTAGAGTTTATGTCCCAAGCATAATCTTAGACCGTAAACTCCCCCAAACCTCATCAAATGAGGGTTTAAACCCCTTAAATAGCCCTAAACCTTCACTAGAAAATTATTGGGATGAATTAAGGACCTTAGCATCAAAGATTGGGGAGTAAAAAAGAGTTCACGGCCAAGCCATGAGGCTTACGGCTGTAAACTCCCAAGGAGTGGCCTTTGGGCTGTAAACTCCAAGGGAGTAAACTCTTGGACTCCCTAATACCCCCTTTTGGTCTTGTACAATCCCCGAGAACCACTTCTAATCCATAAGACCCCGAATCATTTTTAGGATATGTAAATGTTTTAATAAAAAGTATAAGTGACTAATTTCTTGTAAAACACATATCTCATATGTTAATAGGGTCTTAAAAGGTGTACAAGTCCTTATTTGACACCAAACGCTCAACCGACACCTTCACCCGATTTACTCGATTTCAGGTGAGTTCATACCCCTTAATGAACCTTTCTAATGATTTCATATGTTTTAGGGGGGGGGGGATACAAGTCAAATATACATTTTTATGGAAATCAATCACATGTGATTTACTATCCGTAGTTCAAATCACATGTGATTTATCACTATGCTTTATAAAAGAACTTTACGCTTTCAAAACTACTTTGGAAAAATAAACTATTTTCTAAATTCTTTCTTTGGTCAAGATTTTTATTAAATTACTTTTCTTATAAAATGTATCTACACTAATAGATTTATATAAGTAAGACTTAAAGGATTTAGGACCGATAGCTCGTCTTATTTCCTGTTCTTGTTTGATGTGGGCTTAGGGTATTTGTTATCCGTCCGACTGTCGTTGATTTCTTAGTTATATATCATGTATATTGGTGTTAGATACGAGCATTTTCATTTCATTCGATGCCTATATTACTTAATTGCCAAGAACCTTACACACCAAGTTAACTATAATAGGTATAGTTAAGGTCACTACTACTCGTTACCGCTACTACTATACACACTATAATTCATACTATTACAAAACGATACACAAATAAGAGGACACAATATGAACTACACAAAAGACTACTACACTATATTACTAGAGAAAGCACTAATCCGAAAGATAACACACTAACTCTCTACAAGATACTCTACGTGCTACACATTGTGACCAGAGCTTTCTGGAAGGAAGGCGACGCTACATGTATAGATCTATACGGGGCAGACAGTATTATATCCCGACTGGTAACCGCAGTCCGAGCCGAGCAGGCCTAGGGATGGTACTACTTCACTACACTATGTATGACCGGGAAGGTCATGGGATCCTCTATTGCTCACACTATTGGTCACATGAAAGGAATACACTATATCCACACTAAAATACGAAGACTAAAGTCTCAGTTAATATCCCGAAGTAAATAAGTATCTAATACTAATGGAAGTTCACACCACTATTACTGTCAACAGGCATAACTTTTCCTCTATTTACACTACATACTTGAGATTTAGTACCACACTTTTACAACAAACAGTTTTCAATGATAAAACTTACATGCAACTTAGAGTTTCTCACTTACGACGTATTTTCTGGAAAATATAGGATTTTCTAGGGTTTTCTACTACTTATAAATGTAAATTGCAGTTTTTCACACTATATGTTCTAATACATTTTATACAAAATTCACACTAAATTCTTATGAACTCACCAGCTTTATGCTGATACTCGTTTTCAAAATAACTTGTATCCTCATGTCAAAGATAGACAGGTACAGGTGCAGCATTTTGGAGAAGATGGAGCATACAAGATTCATCTCTTATTTTTGTATTTCTTTTGGTGTATATTGAAACTTTACAGAACACACTTGTAATTATACTCACTATGTAATGAAATGGTTGTATGTTTCTTGTTTTTACTATTATGCAATTGTGATGATACTGTACGTGACGTCCTCCACCCTGAAACGTATTCCGCCGTTATCGGTTTTAGGGTGTAACAATTGTGTGCGTGTATGATTGATTCTGGACCAATGATTTTAGATATTTTAAGAAAGTAATTAATGCATATTACATGTTGAAGATATAATGGATATTAATTACATCTTCAGCATTTAATATGTATTAATTACTTTCTTAAAATAACTAAAATGATTTGGTCCAGAATTAATCATACATGCACATAATAGATAGTGAAAACATTTGAACCTAAGTCTCTCTCTCTCTCTCTCTCTCTCTCTCTCTCTATATATATATATATATATATATATATATATATATATATATATATATATATATATATATATATATATATATATACTAGCCGTTTACCCGCGCTAAGCTACGGGTATAAATAATTTCTGTCAAAAATTAGTTTCGATTAATTTTTTACACAAATAGATAATACATGGAAACAATTATTTAACTTATACTACATATTTTTGGATTCCAAAAAGGCACAATGTTTACTTTCCTTTCTTCTAATATGCAAATTTTATAATTAAATTGGAATGTCCAATTGTGGAATGAATATTGAATGTTTAACCCTTAGTACATGTCAAAAAATTTGGATGTTTTATAAAAATAACCACGAATTTAAAGAAAATAAATTGATATAAAAGTGGGCCTTTTCATTAATAAACAATATACATATAAAAAAAAAAATAGAAGATATCTTTTCTCATATCTTTCTTTTTTTATGAATGATAACCAAGTGGAACACCACGTGGGGACATTGGAAGAATTATATGTAAAGCAACAACAAAAACATCACCATGTAAATAATGAATAATTTGATTACAGTGTGACATACTTTGGCACTTGGCAGCAACAAAATACAAAGCAAGCAGAATATTAATATCATTTATCCAAGATAGATGATATCAAATGCCAACAATTCCTGAGAAGCAATGACCAAAAACTCCCTAAAAATTGAACCATTTTGATGGGTGAGATCATAATCCATATAAAAACCAACCAATACTGAAAGAAACACCAACAATGACCAAAGGTAGTTGGATTAAATGCAACCTGGTTCACAATTCTCAATTCCTGAAACATTCATCAAAAAACTTGGCATGACGACACATTTAGGGTTTGGTGCACCCTTTCACTTTGTAATACAATTCCCAAATACTATGTTATGACACCAATCGGAAAAGGTGAAAAAAAAAAGCAATATACTTCAGTTGATTTGGTTAATATAGCATCATATTTTAATATTTTCCAGTTGCAGAAATTATAGCAATTTCATCAACATATAAATCAATTTACATTGCTATATGTGGTTAAGTGTAATGTCACGAGGTGAAAGTACAATGTTAAAATTGGATAAATTTTCAAATATAATGCCTTCATTATAAGAAATTTTATTAATATAATGTTGTAATATAAATAAATACAATTAAAAACAATGTTATAATACATCTAAATAAAACATTTCATATTATAATCCGAGTTTGTCTAAGGACCTATCAAAGAGTTCATCTTTTATTTCAGAAACCATGACTGCATCATCAATTTGTATTAGTTGGATTACCTCCATTCTAACACTCGATCCTGCATATGAACCCAAAAAAACAAAGTATTCGCAACTACAGATAAACACGACTACAGGTAAACAGATGGCAATATTAAGAAATGAAACAAAGCTCTGCGTAAATTAAATGTATCTTTATCTTAATTGATGCTCTCCTAAGGCCTCATGACATTGCTATAGTTAGTTTGTTGAGATACTTATTTCTCCTTCAAAATCCTTGCATTTTGGCACAGTAAAATATAGTTAATAAGAGCAATCACAACTAAGAAAATAGATGTAGGTGTTGGGTTATCTCAACTATAGAGTATCCACAAAATATTATTTGAAAAATATCTTACAGTGTTTCGATTTCATCTCAGGTTCTGTTTGCATCTTTTCCACCAAATATGACTAAGTGGTTCCCCTTAAGTGGATCTGATTGACCTTTGTGTGAGACTTGCGAAAGCATCAACAAATAAACGTGAGCTTATTAATAAAGACTAATGTCACTACCCCCATCCTTTACAATCAACATAACTATCTAGTGAACTGTAGAAAGAAAGATTAACATTCATATGATTAAATTAATTTAGAAACTTGTTAGCATTTTTCCACATTTCATCAGACATGATTTTTTTACCAGCCCGTTAAAGCTAAAAATTGACGGTAATTACACAAACCTAAATACATAAATTTACAAATAAGGAAAACTAAACAGAAGAAAAATTACCATGATTATGAAATTCATACATGAAGGTTGAATCGTGTTCCATTGCAAGCTAACTCAAGAAAAAAAATATCATAATGAGAAATCTATAAAGAAAAGGGTGGGGGTAGTTTTAAAGGAAAATACCAATACAAATAAAAATAATGGAGTTTGATATTGCTCATAAATTTCGATCAGAAATTCAGAAACTGAAATTGATTTTGCAAAATACAAATCGAGACGAAATCAGAAAACAATTTTTTAAGAATTTTTTATTTTTAACTTTGTAGAAAATGAAATCAGAAACAAACCAAAAGCTGGCATTTTTTGTCGTAGAAAGAACAAAATCAGAAAATGCATAGTGCTGAAACTCAAATGAAATCATAAATATAATAGCAAGACCTAAAATATGTACAGACTCATTCAAAGAAAACCAAAATATATAAGAAATAGTAAACTCTGTTCAAATAACGAATAGAAATTTTTTATTACCTAGATCTGAGGATTAGGAGACAATACCAAAAACCATATACATTCTTTTTAGCCACCATCCTTCCAGAGATCAAACCATTCTTCTTAGATTTCATGAACAAAAAAACCTAGACTTTAATATTGATAGTCAGAGATAAAGAGCGGTAAGTTTAGGTTGAGATTTTGTATAGATATGAAAGTAAGAGATAACTCACCTAGACGCAATCGAGATAGGTAAAAGTTCTAGATCCTCCAGAAGGTGGGTGAAGGCTGTAATTGCTGATAACGCTTACTTGGTGGAGGCCATCCTCAGAGACGATCAAAGACGTCGATGTTGTGACCATGAAAACGCTACATGTAATCTCATATAATATAAAATATAAACTGTAACATAAAATTCATCCACACTAAAAGAAGATATTACCATCTCCTTCAGTGACTGGTGTGATTCCTGTTAAGCAATTGATTGCAGTAGTTTTTCCAGCTCTATTTGGTCCTAGAAGATAAAAAAGTTGACCCTTTGGGAAGAAAAAACATAGATTGAGATTTTTTAGTAAAGTTAATAGCCATTAAAAGTGTATAAAGAATGTATAGTTACAGAGGAGATATCAAGATTGAAAAAGTAGTGATTATCAAATAAGTAGATACCATATTTATTAGACAGTCATTGTCATTTGGTGCACACTCCCCTATACGGCTCCAGCTGATACCAGGGTCTTTAGGAGTGGAAGTGGCATCAGAAAGCAACTGAAGGGCTTTAGCAAGAAGATTAGGTGGGAAGAAAGACCAGATGGTCCTGTATGTTTTAGAGAAGATGTCAGTATAGGGAAATCCAAATACAGTAACCTACATAAAGAAAAAAGCTAAATCTTAAATCCGAAAAATGATAGAGTGCGTAGTGTTTGGTAAATGAAATTAATAATGAAGTTACCTGTGTCAGAAATCCAACTATATATACGGAGAAAACATGAACGCAAAACCGATCTGTAAGAAAAAGCTAGAAAATGTTAATCCACCAACATATGGAATGGATTTAGGTTTTTTACATATAACTTGGAAAGAAAATGGACTCTTAATTACCATGTTTAATTGGAAGAGAAAGAACACAAGAAACACAACTTCAAAGCTGTTGTTCATGAAGAAATCAATCTGAATTTGAGATATAACTTCATATATGTAAACAGAACCGAACACATGAACACCATAAATGGAGGGAAAACAGCAGGAACTCCAGGCATACCTCATTCACAATTGACATCTGGACATGTTTAGACTCAAATTGACGTGTAGATTGCCGTCCACGTTCACATAAAATTTTGCATCCCATTTGGGCCCATCTCCAGCTCAACAAACGACACTTCCAGCCATCTATTCATCCGCCTTCGAGGGTATAAAAAGGAACCATAACGCCTAAAATTGAGAACGTTGGTGGGAGAGAGTAAGGATGAGGTGTTGAATCGTAAAAGCCAAACACAAAAAAGAGAAGCATTACCTGGTTGATTAAATATTTCTTGAACCCAAGATCAATGTGTGACTGAAATTGAAATTGATACCCAATCCATATATGAAATATGTTAGGGTTGAATGGTTACCTTTCCAACTAACCCAACGATCTCCTTTTCTTTGTAACATTTTGTCGAACACCTTTGGTGCACAAACCATTTCTCCTTTTTTTATAGTACCTTGATGAGTAATGATTCCTGTTACATAAAGTCATAAACTGTATGACAGAATTAGAGGATAATAATTGGGTAGGCACCTTCCCCGGTTAAAGACTTACCATAGGTGGGTTCAATCGACCGATGAGAAAATATCACCTTTTCTGATAACTTCTCAAAAAAATACCAATAGATTGCAAGCAGAACCGATAACGGGATTGAAGCGAACTGAAAATAGGAAAAGGAGATTGAGGATATTCGGTTAAAAGAATTCGATAGGAGGAACTATATGGAAAGAACTGGAAGAAGGAGGTGCGGTGGATAACTAGTGGATGGATTTTGGGTTAGATACTGTTCCTAGGGAGCAAGACAGCGGTGAGATGTGGAGAAGGAGAAGCCGATGAGTTTTCGGTGGGTCGACAATGGAAATCCAGGGTCGTTGGTAGCAGTGAAGGAAAAGCAGGACTGAAATGGTGTCGACCGTCTAAGGAAATGGACGATTAAGAGGAATCGCAAGTGAACGATTAGGAGGAATCAATGCATCTTTGGTGGAGACGATGAGAATTGGTTTGAAGGCGACCGTGTTTACGAGATTAGGGTAAGGTCCGTGTAGTGTAATACGTATAAGATTTGTTATAAGCTTAATATTATTGTACATAAGGTAATGTATGTTGTACCTCTTAATTTTTAAGAGATGAGCAATATGCTTAATAATATAGTAAAGATAAAGGTATATATATATATATATATATATATATATATATATATATATATATATATATATATATATATATGGGAAAAGTGAATATACCCTTAAGGGTATATAAGTTTAGGTACCCAAACACATCATAATACGTCATTTTTCTTTGATATATTTATTATAATGTTCTTAAACTTCAACCTTAACTTGATTTACTTTCAAGATATTCGAAATTTCACTATTATCTTTCTCTTAAATCACATCTTTTTGCCGAACATCTACTAGGCTATATATATTGTAGTTGAAAATAAAAATTATGTAAGAGGAAGATAAATGTGTAATTTACAAAAATTTTGGAAGTACATCAAGTTAGAAGTAGAACATTGGACAATTAGAATGTATTATAAGATACAAAACGACTTAATATGGTGTGTTTGGGTACCTAAGCTTATATAACTTTAAGGGTATATTCACTTTTCCCTATATATATATATATATATATATATATATATATATATATATGATTAGGTTATTTTGTTTTCACTATCTATTATGTGCATGTATGATTGATTCTAGACCAATCATTTTAGTTATTTTAAAAAAGTAATTAATGCATATTACATGTTAAAGATATAATGGGTATTAATTACATCTTCAACAGTTAATATTTATTAATTATTTTCTTAAAATAACTAAAATGATTGGTCCAGAATCAATCATACATCCATACAATAGATAGTGAAAACATTTGAACCAAACTCTCTCTCTCTCTCTCTCTCTCTCTCTCTCTCTATATATATATATATATATATATATATATATATATATATATATATATATATATATATATATATATAGAGAGAGAGAGAGAGAGGTGGGTTTAATTGAGAAAATAAAAAAGGTTGAGAATGAGGGAATCATTCTCAGCCACTCATTTAATCTAAGCATAAAAAGACACGGTGATAAACTTGTAAATATGATATAATAGCCTTCAATCACAAATATGTAAGTGTAGAGAATTTGATAATAGTTAAAATTCATTCTAATCGATCGTTATCATCCAAATTTCTCCTCCAGCTTCAACAATCATCCAGATTTCTTCAATTAAATCATTGATCAACGTCATCTTGTGTTAATCAATCATCGATCTTCATTAATAACACGTTTATCAACACCATTCAACAGTTGGGAACACAAATTCTTTTTTTGCTCTTTCAATCCAACCTTCAATTCTACTTGAATACGAGCATATCTTCAACATCTATGATTAATTATACTTTCAACATCATTAGATCAACATCATCGATAATCAACAAAAAATTCAATTCGTATCATTCATTCAACATCGATCATCAAATAAAACATCGAAATTTAGGTTAGAAAAAGATCAAATCATTTTTTGTTTGAAAATTTTCATATATTTCTCCACCAATCTACTATTTTGTAAGATTTAAATAGTCAAAGTATCATATTTATCACATTTTTAAAAAAGTTAACTTGTATGCACTCCAACTGTTTGATGAAATGCATAAACTAAATTACCACGTTATATTCATATATGAATATGTTGATGGGTTTTGGTCATAAGACATCCTATGTGCTCATACAAACCCTAATGCTCGGATCTAGGTTTCTCTATTGTACATGCTTTGAATCCAAGACTATAAACCCTAATTCTAGCATTCGAGTAATCATATTAATATGTAACTAGGTTTAAGATCATACCTTGATTGTTACGTAGCAATAACAATCCCAAATCGCCTTGTAATGACTTTGGAATGCTTAGAGTCACAAGTGTCACTCCTCTAATTGCTTACAAACACCATGAGAAAATGGAGAAGGTATAAAGAGAGAGTGGAGAGGTTAGAATTCATCCTTAGGACTCCTTGGGAAGGGATACACGAATTCATGAGCCAAGGGATGTTTATATATGTGTAGAGATAGGGTTTCAGTCATTATCCTTATCTAGTTGCTTATCCACAAAGCAACCCATAAGATAATCCTTGAATCCTTATCATAGTCGAATTCTAAGGCCTTATCGCCTCAAATTCGTTCACCCTAATAATAAGATAATCCTTACCTTATTTTGTAACTATCACATAATTACAAATCAGCCCCTCTAGTTTAATTAATTACACTTGATCACAAAATTAATTCCTAATTAATTATTGACCAATATTAATTAAACAAATATGATTTCTCCTTTAATATATTATTCTTATAACATATTAATAAATCATAATAACCTTTCTCTCTTTATTTATTTCTCCAATCAAGTTGCTTTGGTGAAGGCAACCCAAAAGGACCATGCACCATCGGGTCAATTACATACCAAAATAGTTATGGACTTAGAAACTAATCCAACAGTCTCCCACTTGGATAAGTATAACAACTATTTTGCGTATGACTTCAGATCTTGATCTGCAATCGTAGCTTTCCAAAGCCGCTGTCAACTCTGATCCCATCAGATACGTGTGTCCTTAGATAAGGGATCATATATTCCTCCATTCTAGATATCATATGAGATATGATTTCAAATCATTCTCTTTGTACTATATCTCGATTTCCGATTTATGACGACAGACTAATTGAACAAATCAAATTAGCCCTAGCCCGGCCGAGCATTTACGTTTGTCATCACTAAACCATCGAGGGGCCCAAAAGATATCGCTTTTATTCTTTGAATAAAGGGAACGGATGAACTTTGATACAATGCTTGCTTACACTCACTCACCGAATCACACACAACAATATGTTTTATAACACCAAGTTACTAGTGCGTTTACATATTATCAATGTGCAACCAATTTGCAAGATACAACTCACACATCTCGGTTTCAAGAATATAAGATGTTATCGTCTCACCAATCACTCGTGATATAATTCATGGAGTGATCCAAAGTGAGCGTGGGTTTAATCCAATGCTCAAATCATATTCGTAAGCACTCATGAACGTTGCAGCAAACATTTGCTTATGTCTAATACTTTTCTAGACAATCCACACACCAATTCATGACAGTCTTCATTCATATCTACTTCCAACATATGAGCGACTGTGGCCCGTTTGAATAATTCGATTATTCTTAATAAAATCAATTATTCTGGAAGTCAAAACATGCAAATGTGAAACACAAGAATAATACTAATCTCATATGGCCTCAAACCTTTGAGTATAAATAAAACGCCTTTTGTTTATCACCATATTGATTACTCATTATTTGTCGTTTCGGGTAATCAACTTCTTACTTGAATTATTACACTTGTCCCATGCTCTTAGCATGCACACAATGTTTACCTATGGTTCTTACTTTGTGAAATAGATCGCATTTGACACATTTCCAATCATTCTCATTTCACAACTCCAAATCCATTTTTCATAAGTTTAAGAATATCAAATTCTTGCCACTTATAGAATATGCTAGATTCTAACATTTTATGCAATGATTCTTTCGTAATGTCACTGCACCAAAGTCACAAAGACTATTGCCAATGATATTACAAAATCTTCTATCAGAGATTGTTACAAGACAATTCCTTAGATATGATGTCTCTCACTCAAAGTACATTCCTTTGAACATCCTTTTGCATAAAAGTTTCTAATCTAGTCATAGATTTTCAATATTTACTTCCTAATATGGACACGCTTCCATATTTTCCATATGACAACTTATTCTTAATAGAATCTTATCTATTCATAATAATGTCAATATGGTCCATCCCATACCATGCTTCCAACTACTCACAAGCAACCAATCCTCGTCGACCTTTGGTTTGTTCTTTGATAGTTGTTTAATTATTTTAGTCAAAACCGATTCTAGTCCCTTTTCCCTCTAAATGCGCTAGACATTTGGAAAATTTAAGAATGGTCAATCATTAAAGCATTTGCAATCGATCCTATACCCGAAGCGTATGGGACACGATGCACAATGTTTTATTTGCTATGTTCTCAAAATTCGAATTGTGAAGAGG